AGTTTCCTACAAAATTTCAGCTCAATCAGAGCAACGTATCCTATGAAAAGACCAAAATACCCTCACTGCCCTAGGTTGTATTCCAGTGTTCCGTGTAGACAGTCAGTCTATTTGGCTGTGTTTATTCACTATGATCCGTACTGATTTAGCCATTTTCCAAAATATGAAAGTTTTAGTACTCTGTATTATCTTTTCAACGCCACCAAGAACCCTTAAACGGACCTTGGTAGACTGAGATATGGCCATTTGAATGCAGTACGGTTAAATAGCCGATTAGTTGGAATTAGGTTATGTGAATTGGGAATTTGATTAGGTTACACTGGGAATTGGACTAAGTGATCTTCACAAACATTGGAACCTTGTGTCTTAGCTTCGAAATGGTATAATTTGCAACTCAATCCGATAAGCATAGCCTCGGATGTACCCATTCCGCAAAACCCCGTCGAAACTGTCTTTTGTAAACTTCATTACCGCACTCGATATTAGCTTAATTTTTGTTCTTGTATTGTCTTGAGCCTATGGAATGGTTATTGAAATGAAATTGTGTTATGGATAACCTTGGGTTTGATTGAGTAAAAGGATGAAGCCATAAATGGCTGGAAAATAGGAAAATACAAAGGGCATGCTGCCCAAATTTTCGCTCGAGGACTAAGTTTCTATTTGAACTGGTATACTTACGTTGGGTCTATGAAACCCTAGTTATTTTTGTCCACGGGTCCAAATGTCCTCGTTTCACTTTAAAGTCTTTTTGTACGTTCTACTCAATTATTGTCGAGCTTCTTTGATTGCACCTAATTGTTGTGCTAGATGATCTGTAATATTCTTTCTCGTTTAATTTAGGTTTTCTCAGTGACTGAGGATAATATCCGGAAGGATATTTTACCCGTTATTTTGCGTACATAGGTGAGTGTTTCTTGTTTGTTATATTCTCCATGACTTCATGACTTGTTGTTGTTGTTTGATGATGTGTTAAGTGTTTTCAAGGATTTCCAAAACGAATTTTCTAGGCGAGCGTGTACTTTATCGCACTTGACCTAAATGAAATGTGAAATTTTCAATGATTTAACGATTGAAACATTAGTTGCGCATGATGTAAGCCTTTTGGCTGAATTGGGCCCTGCCCTTCGTTACCGATCGACTTGAGCCAGAAGCGGACTCGATCGGGCGATATGGTGACCCTGGGTGAATTTGATATACTCGAGTATTACCTTGTAGTCCGGCCACGTCCAGATGGGTGGAGTCCGGCCAACGTCCGGATGGGTGGAGTCCGGTTAACGTCCCGAAGGGAATGAATGAACGAACGCAGACACGAGGGTTTTACTTCTCAAAAAGGAAATTTTCAAATAATTGGAGGAATAAGGGGAAATGTCAGGGGAACGAACGAACGAACAAATAGCTCCATGTGAGCCCGTATCCATTTAATGAATGTGTTGCTATCGCTTTCCATTGTAAAAATTTCTTGAATTATTGATACTCCATGTTTAACGTATTGAATTGACTATCTGACTATGTGTTCGGAACCTCACTGATCTTTTAGCTCACCCCTTTAGTTTTGTTTTCCTTAACAGGGGACGGCGAGCAGGATGATAGCATAGACTAGCCTAGTCTAGTTCTTTTGTTTTTTTTTTGTAATGGTTCTCACCCTAGTGCTTGGCACGGGCTGGACGTATGAAGGATTGAGAACCTTTGTATATTCGATCTTTATACTCCCTTTTGGGATGGCAATGTATATAAGTTTCGCTTTAAGTTTGGATCGCTGCCCTATTTATTCTTGTGATTTATTCCGATTTTAATTGAGGACTGTAGTGAACGACTGAGTCTCGGCGAGAGCTGTGCAGGCGGTCTGCCGAACCCTCTGGTTCGCCTTAGGGGGAGGTGGGGCTGTCACAATCTTCCTTTGAATTTTCTTCTAATAGAGTATTGTCTTGATCATGAATTATGAGTTTCTTAAATTCTTCTTGAACATCTACATCATCATCCTCACAACAACTCTTGGAAATATCATCATTAGATTCATCAAATGTAACATGTATGGTTTTTTCTATAGCAAGAGTCCTTCTATTATAGACCCTAAATCCTCTTTTGTTTTCACAATAACCCAAGAAAATACCTTCATCGGATTCTTATCAAATTTTCCAAGATGTTTCTTGATATTTAAAATAAAACATTTATAACCAAAAATTTTGAAATATCCAACAATTGGCTTTTTACCAAAAATCAACTTTTAAGAGGTTTTGTTCAAAATTGGTCTCAAGAGAACTCTATTCATTGCATAACAAGTCGTATATATAGTTTCGACCCAAAAATATTTTGGTAAGTTGCATTCACTTAACATGGTTCTTGCGGTTTCTTGAAGAGTTCTATTCTTTCTTTCAACAGCACCATTTTGTTAAGGAGTTCTTGCAATTAAAAATTCATGAGTAATTCCATTTTGATCAAAAAATTTTGAAAAACCACAAAATTTAAATTCCGAACCATTGTCACTTCTAATCTTAACAATTTTCAACCCAATCAGATTTTGAACTTTTGTGAAACGGGAAACAAAATTTTTGAAGGCATCATCCTTGTGTGCAAGAAACATCACCCAAGTGTATCTAGAATAATCATCAACAATGACTAAGTAATATCTCTTACCACCCAAACTAGCAATTTGTGTAAGAACAAACAAATCAAGATGTAAAAGCTCCAAAGGTCTTGAAATAGAAACACATTTCTTGGGTATAAAAGAAATTTTGACTTGTTTTCCAAATTTATAAGCATCACAAATTTTGTCCTTTTCAAACTTAATTTTTGGCAAGCCTCTAATAAGATCCTTTTTGAAAATTTCTTTTAACAAATCCATGTTGAAATGACAAAGTCTTCTCTGCCACAACTAAGGATCTTCATTTGAAACTTTATGGCATTTAAAGTTAGAGGAATCAACATTTTCAAGAATAACTACATAGATGTCATTTAATCTTTTTCCTTTGAAAATGATATTAAAGTTTGAGTCAAGAACAAAACACTCATACTTTTTGAACAAAATAAACAAATTTCTATCACATAATTGACTAACACTTAGCAAGTTATAACTCAAATTATCAACTAAAAGAACATTGTGAACAAAAGTTTGGCCATTCTTAAGGGTAAATTCCCTTTTGACCCCCTAAACTATACCCTATTTCTCACTTCAATCCCTAAACTTCTTAATGGGACACTTAAATCCCCAAACTACTGAATCCGTCCCAATTAAGTATAACCGTTGACGGACTCGACAGAATCATCAGGGTTTTTTGAGCGTGCAAAACAAGCGCCGTTAGTGAGATTAGATACGCCATGAAAACTGAAATAGCCAGGACATAATTGTAATTTCGCCCGTTAGGTATAAGGGGAAAAGAAAATCGAGGGAAACGGCTTTGTTTCTGTCGTCTTCACCGTGGATTTGAACACACAGAGAGAGAGAGAGAGAGAGAGAGGGACGGTGTGAACGAAGTTAGCAGATTTCTACTAATCTATACCCTTGACATGTTTGTGACCGTGAGTTAGAAGTGACTGGCATTATAAAATGGGAAAGTCAATATCGACATTGAAGAGGGCTGATGGAGAAATGAGGTCGCCAATGAAGAACAAGAAGAGAAAGGCCACTCCCGGTAAGAGAAATGATATTAAAATGTCATTATTTGCTTGTTGGATAATAGCATATATAGTAGTTGGGTTATTGTGCTATGTTGTCGGTTAGGTTTTGTAGTGATATTGTGTACTGTAAAAAGGGCCAGATTGACCTCTGTATGTTATACCCTGTTTGTCATAAATTATGGTAGACAAAATTGTTTAATGTTGAATGTATGGGCAATTTGATGATTTGGGGTATTTTTTAAGGCAATGTTTATGCTGTTCAAACCGTAATGTTTCCTGTATTTCAGACATTGTGGTCCCCGATCCACTGTAAAAGGTGTAAAAAAATTAATTATTGAATTAAAATTTTTTTTTCTTTGAACCAGGAAATGGTGATAGTGGAACTTGGCCTGAACCTTTCTCCTTAAAGATACGCCATCAAGTGACCTTCACAGACTCTCCTAACAAACAGTATATAGAGGGACGGGTTGATTTTATAGATAGATGCAACCCAGAAATGTGGTCATTAGTAGCTCTAGACAAATGTGGAGTCCGTCTTGGGTATGATGCAAAAGATCGTTTTGGGTGGTATTATCTGCTACCAGAGATGACATTGGATACAAGCTTGGTCTTTTGTATGTGTGATAGCGATTGTGAGATGATGGTGAACACATTACCACCACATAGGGTGGCAGAAGTGTTTCTTGGAGTTTTGTCACAAGGTTGTCCACAGGCTATAGCACCCTGTAGTACTGGGCCAGAAGTAGAACCAGAAACTACAGCCAAGCAAGCAAAAGTCTTGATGTTGAACCAGAAAGTATTGAAGTAGCACCAGAAACTGCAGACAAGCACGCAAAAGGTGCTGATGTTGAACCAGAAAGTGAGGAATTTTATCGTGTTGCTACTGAAGATGAAGCAGAATATGAAGACGTTAACAGCAAAGCGACTGAAACTCAAATTTTGGTAGAAAAGAAAGCTGATAATAGGAGTGATACTGCAAAGGAGCAAAAAGATGTTGAAGGCTGTGATGAAGCTTCAAATGCACAAGTCAGAGAAGAAGATGACTAAAGTAAAAATTGTAATAAAAATGCACAAAACATAGCTAGCAATGAAGGTGGTGTAGGGGAAACAGAATGTGATGCTGCCAGACAAGAAAAGGAAGAAAATGGAGTCAATGTTGATGAGAAGATGGCAGATTCAGACTATGAGGATCAAGGGGGAGACAATGACATATTAGACGAAGCCATCAAAATTGGTCAAACATTTGGAGGAGATCTAGGTGCACATTCAGCTGGCCCTTCCATTGCAATAAACCTGGTCCTTCTGATTGAAGTGAGCAAAGAAAGAAGAAGGCAGGAAGGAAGAGAGACCCACCCATTGAAATTAACTGCTGTGATGACTCGGATATGATTAACATTGATGACATTGAATCAGAATATGACTCGAATGATTCATTTGAATTGAAGAGTCAAAGTGAATCCAATGAAGATGGGAATAGTAAGACAAGGAGGCCTAAATTTTCAGTTTTTAATGAGCAAACAGACATGAAAAAATCAAAGTTTGAAGTTGGTCAGAAATTCACATCAGTCATTATATTCAGGTTGGTTGTAAGAATCCAAGCAATTATGGATGGGAGAGATGTGTATTTCAAGAAAAATGATACACGGTGGGTGAGAGTGAAATGCAGAAGTTGTGACTGGCAGCTATTTGGGTCTAAAATGCAAGATGAAAATACCTTTCAGATAAAAACACTTAGTGATGAGCACACTTGTGGAAGAGTGTTCTACAATAAAAACATGACATCTAGGTTGGCTAGCAAACTATTTGTTGATGAGGTAAGGAAAACGCCATCTATGACAGTGCATGAGTTGATGACCAAAGTAACTGAGGAGTTAAATGTTGATTTCAACCTTAAGCAAGGATATAGAACACTTAGAAAAGTTAGAGACACTATTCAGGGGTCCCATGACAAACAGTACACCATGTTGGAATCATTTTGTGGTGAATGGAGGAGGACAACTATGGGATCTACTGTGTTTGTTGAGACTGATGTAGATGAAGATGGTGTTTCTAGGTTTAGAAGGCTGTATATGTGCTTAGAACCAATAAAGAGAGGTTTTTTAGCTGGTTGTAGAAAGTGGATTGGGTTAGATGGTTGCTTCCTAAAAGGTCCATATGGTGGGCAGCTTTTGTCAGCAGTTGGAATGGACGGTGATAACAAAATGTTTCCCTCGGCAATGTCAATTGTTGGGGTAGAGAATTATGATAACTGGAGTTGGTTTTTAGGATTGCTTGTACAAGATTTAAAAATTGAAGACTCTAGTTGCTGGTGCATTATGACTGGCAAACAGAAGGTAGTATTTATTAATACAAATTAATAAATTTGTTATCCATTAACTATTTATGTTATACTATTGATATTAATGTGGCATATGTGATTGTTGTGCTGTGTTGCACAGGGACTACTTCAGGCTGTTAGGGACAAACTTCTACAAGCTGAACATAGGTGTTGTGTCCAACACCTTTACACTAACTTCAAGCAAATGCATAGAGGTCTTGCTCTTAAAGATAGGCTTTGGAGATGTGCAAGGGCTTCATATATGACTCAGTTCAAAGCAGAAATGGAGATGATGAAGCAAGAATCAAAGAATGCATATGCATGGTTGGATGAAAAGGACCGCATACTTGGTCACGGGCTCATTTCAAGACTGACTGGATTGGATTGCGATATACTGGTTAATAATATGTGTGAATCTTTTAATTCAATTATATTAAAGGCACGATCACTGCCTATCATAGGCATGTTGTAAACTATTTACTTATATTTGTTGAAGAGAATGGAGAAGAATAGAGAGACAATGTCCAAATATGAAGGTTAAGCTACTTGCTTACTATTTTTTATCAGCACTTCTTTCTAGTTATCCTGTGTTTAATATCTAATTTGCCCTTTTATTTGTCAGGTCTCTTATGTCCAGCAATTTTTGACATTCTTGAGAAGGCCAAGAAAGAGCAATGCATGTGCATCTGCTATTACGCTGGCACAATGAAGTATCAGATATGTTGTCCTTTTGGTGACCAGTTTGTCGTTGATTTGGGGAGCAAGACCTGCACTTGTAGAAAATGGCAACTGAGGGGAATCCCATGTGGCCATGCAGTGGCTGCTATTTATAGGAGACGTGACAAGCCAGAAAAAAATGTGGCACCCATCTACTGGAAGACTACATACATGAAGAGTTATGAACCTGTATTGAATCCAATCAATGGACCTAATCTGTGGGCCCCAATAGATTTACCACCAATGAAGCCTCCAAAATATGGGAAATCACCTGGAAGGCCAAAAAAGGCGAGGAAAAAGGAACCAGATGAAGATAGGAACAGGCAGTCACGTGTGAATCCATCTAAACCTCACAAAGTTAGCAAGGTTGGCACTAAGATGAGTTGTAGTCTGTGCAAGAAATATGGCCATAATAGGAGGAGCTGCCCTGAAAAAAATCAGGAAACTGCTCCAGTAGAAAGGGAGGAGATGGGCATATGGATAAGGAAACTAGTGGGACCAGTACACAACAAACAGATGCTATCAGAAATGAAACAAGGCATACCAGTACTGGTCCAACTACTTCTAATGTCACTCACTTAAGTACACAAGAGAGCTGCACGGCTGCTCCTCAAAGTCAGACTCAACAGAAAATTGGTGGAGAACAACCAGTCAAGGGCACAAGAAAATGCTCATTTTGCAGGAAACCTGGCCATTCAAAGAAAGGTTGCAAGCTGAGGCAATGGACCTTTAGAAACTCACTGGACATGACTGGAGAACTTGGACTCAACAGAGCTGCAACTGATTCTCTAATCAACCCATATGAGACAGCTTCAAACAATACTGAATCTGGACATGTAAGTGCTTCAAAATTTCAGTTTTTATACTGTGTGAGATGTGAAAATGTTCACTCTCCTATTAACTACTTCTTATCTTGTGACATGTAGTTGAACTCCAATACTGGTGACAAATTTATTCACACAGTCCAGGGATAACAATGAAACCACCAAACTCATACATTGATGATAGGCAGACAGAAGAGCTTGGTTCAACTAGCCGTGTCACCGGACGACTTCAACCAACCCCCTTCACTTGGAGGGGAAACATGTGTGTAAATCTGTCTACATTGCAGGCAGCAACAGGTCACATGAATCATTCAACCACCATTGCCAATATGCAGCTCCATAGGAATGCAAATGAAACTGCAAAGTTAGGAAATTTAAATCAGCCTCCAAAATAGTTGTGTTTTGTAAATGCCAATGTGCAGCTCCATGTTTAGCTGGGTTTTGTGAATTTATGTTGCTTTGTAGGGAGCTGATGTTTTGTAAATGGCAAATGATGTTGTTAATGCCAAGAAATTCCAGCTGTTGTTTTGTAAATTTGTGAAACTTCTGGTCTTTTGGTGTAAGGCTAAACATGCCTTCTTCTTAAATGATCAAATTCAGTCCATTTTCAATTGCATTTATTGTGTCAAACAGTGGATGGTGTTACAAATGTTTACAGGTGTATCATCCATTGACAAAAGTAGTTCAATAAGTTGGGACACTTTAGTCCCTCAACTACATAAAACGAATGATTTATAAACAATACTTCATTACATAGGGACACTTAGGTCCCTAAAGTTCAAACAAAAGAGCATGTCAGCCCCTATTGCTTCTTCAAGCATAGCTACATTACACCAGAAACCGCATCTTATACAGAGAGATAAAATTACATCTTTTCCATCCCAATTACATAGCACCATTTTCCCTTTACTACAGCGTTGCTTCTTTTCCCACATAGATGGACATTTTCTTGTCAAACTCCAATGATGACCTTTATGGCCCAGAGTTGAACAAAAGGATCCATACAACAGCAACAACCCAGTGAACAAACAAGTACATCTTCAGCCTTCTTAGTTTTGCTTCCTGCAACTTTGAGTTCTCTTGCAACCTCTCAATCTCTGCCTCCAATTTATTTTTTGTTCTTATTAGTCTAGGGATTATATCCTTCGACCTTTGACACATCTCAAGATCCACCCAATCCAAATACCTGCATCCCTTTGATTCCTGCATTAACAACACCATTGAGAGAGTAAATACAAGTTTACTTAGGTGCATTGCATACAAATCAAAACCATAGGGGAAGAAATGCAAACAGATATAATGGAAATGGAATCACCCTGTAATTTGGACATCGACAAAACCTTCTTCGTGGGTTTAAATCAGTCCATAATGTCATCATCAATGCTTGTTTTCCACAGTTGCATGTGTCCCTAACCATCTCTCCTTGGTCTTCTTTCTTATCTTCAGATTTCCGCCAGCTCTCAACCAAGAAGCTCTTACCCCTCATTTCGGTAATTAGGGCACAATCCGTCCCTTTTATGCATTGGATTGGGTCAATTATTTGACCCGATTGTGCTTGATAAAAGGAGGGAAAGTTTCCCTCCTTTGTGCTAAATACGGTTATTTCTTTTTCTTATTATATCTTTTCTCTGAATTTCATCCCTGCCCTTGGTCAGCGGCGCTTGTTTTGCACACTCGGAAAACCCTGATGATTCTGTCGAGTCCGTCAACGATTATACTTAATTGGGACGGATTCAGTAGTTTGGGGACTTAAGTGTCCCATTAAGAAGTTTAAGGATTGAAGTGGGAAACAGGGTATAGTTTAGGGGGTCAAAAGGGAATTTACCCAAAAATGATAAAAAAAACAGCACAGTTCTATAATTGACTGAAGTATATTGGCATGATGGTTGAGACAATTTACAGCGTTAATTACTTTTGGAAGTTTCAAATATATAGCTAATATTCTGATTTTGCTGTTTTAGGAGAAAGATAAGGAAGGATTTTAGTGACTATGGACGAATTCTAGTTTATTCGAACTAACGAATAAGTGGCATTCAAAGGTTTATGTAATTATTGGTTTGTATTTATAAGTTCGATAAACAGTTCTATATCCTCTCGGAAGGGTATGTCAGTGCCTCGCTCCACATCATAAGTTAAATATTTTTAAATGCGGTTGTTGGATTTGGGGTGTGACATTTGAAGTTTGAGTATCCCTCTAAAAATCTCCATTTTCATGTGGAGGCTGCTGAACAATTTTCTTCCTTTTCCAGAGGTGTTACAGAAATTGGGAGTCCATTTGCCATATAAATGTCCTTGTTGCACAAATGCTGACAGTATATATCATTCTTTCGCTGTTTGCACTTTGCAGTAAAGCAAGGGACACATGCAAAGCTTTCGAAGGCTCCTGGAAATCCCCTCAACTCAAAGACTTAAGACATCTTCCTCAAGCTGCAACATTGGTGGTGTTTCTCCAGCAAATCATCACCTATCGGAGAAGTAATTCTGATCCTGCCTACTTTGATTTGTTGGGAGTTATGGAAAGCTTGGAATCGATTCCAAATTGAGGGAATTCTACTTTTGTCGGCACAAATCATTCATCAAGTGCATGTTAGTTTGAATTTAATAGCATATGCATGGCCGTTTCAAAATCTGAAGTCTGCAGACATCAGGCTCATTTCTCTTGGAGTGGTTCCATTTCTTTTAAAAAGGAAACGGATGAAGCATTTTCCAATCTTTTGGATAAGAGCTTCAGACAATGTTTTAAAACTGAATGTTGATGGCTCGTCTTTGGGAAATCCAGGCTATTCGGGAGGAGGAGGAGTCAGGAATAGGGGGGAAGCGCTCTGGCAACATTCTCAACTTTTTTTGGTCTTTGTTCAAAAATAGAAGCCGAAGCCAAAGCTTGGCTCGAGGGTCTTCAACTATGCCTGTCCTTAGGTCTCACGCACGTCGTCGTTGAGGTGAACTCACGGGTGCTATTATCTTCTATTTCTTCTAGCTCCCCGGAGAATGAACCAGTACATGGCAAGTATTAGAAGGTTTAGGTCCCAAGGCGATTTCTTTTTTTTTTTTTTTGAATACAATAGGTTCTATACTATATCTACTCCTATTCTATAATAGGGGAAGGGGGACCCTAAGGGGTTAAAAGGAAAACTCGACGGGGATTGAACTACCACCGGTTTAGACAAATACGTACTCCTACTCTATACTAGGAAGAAGGGGGATGCTAAGGGGTTAAGGAGATCGACTGAATCACCATCAGTTCAAACGGATACCTACGCACTCACTAACGAAACATTTCAAAAAAATTTAGATATTAGAATGTGGGACAAAGAATTTGATCCCTTGACTTACACCTAAGTAGAGCATCGGTTCCAAGGCGGTTTCACCTTCTCACATATCTACAGAGAGGCCAAGTCAATTGCTGATTTTTCGCTAAGCAAACTGCATCGAATGGGGCCTCTACGAGGTTCTCTCAATTTTACAATCCTAGGCATGCCAATGGACTTATTAGACTAGATAGGATGAGCTTTCCATACTTTCGTTCGGTGAAGGAGTAGCACTCCTTGTTTATTGGCTTTCTTTGATTGTATCATTTGAGATAAGGCTTTAGCCCCCTTGTTCATTTAATTAATGAAATTAAGGTTGGCATCCCTTCACCATCGACAGAGCTTTTTGCCAAAAAAGAAAAAAAATTACTTCTGTTGTCATTTCAACTAAAACTTGAACCAAATCTCAAGGAATATTTAGTCATAATGTAAAGGGCAAAAAAAAAAGATTGCTAAAGAGTCAAAGTAAAATATCTATGCATCTAAATAACTATTTGTAATTGTATAGTTGATATAATTGTGTTAATATCTTCTATAATAAGGTAAAGCCAAAATTGTAAATTTCAATTGTACAGTGTACACCAAACCAATCAAATATGTATAAGAAATGTGAATTTCTTTTACGTATGACCTCTTTCGTGGAGGAGATAAAGTGTGTTTATTAAATTAGACTAATTTTATGAGTACTCTATCATACGTGATTAAATTATAAACTATTAGGTTGCATTTAGATTGAGCAATTTGGCAAAGGATTTGAAATCCTTTCAAATCCCTCTGGTTGTTTAAATTATTTCGAAGATATTTAAATTTATGAATCACCAATTATTGTAGTGAATTTAGAGTATTATGGCTATGCTAGTTATCAAATGACAGTGCTTAAGATCTACTTCAGTTTTATAAGAGGTTCAACTCAATAGTTAGTTAACCAAAAAAGGATATTAAGAGGTTCAACCAAATAGTTAGTTAACCCAAAAAAACTTTTAAAAGTGGAAAGCCATGGTAACTAAAATATGGAAAATCATGCAGTATGATAGAAACTGTAACTTCCTAAGACATTAATTTGGATAAGTAGAAAATAAAACAAAGTCTTTGTTTTTTGGAAAGCAGATATTCAAGATTAATTGGCCAAAAAAGAGAGAAAATACTAAATTAAAGCATTTGTAAGTATAAAAAGGAGAAAAAACCGTTTGCATTAGTAGTGTTGTCTATATGCAGCTGCAATAAAAACATTAAAGAATAAATGAGTTCTTAAATCACAAATGCTTTCATGCCAACAATCTCAATATGAAAATTAAAAATGAAACAATAATTTTTCAAGTTTACTGCTAGGCTTATGTCATATTAGATATCTTAATGTTTTACTCTCTTAAGTCTTACTAAACAAACAATTTCATTTAGATATTAAGAATCATGGTTGTAGCTCTTAGGATTATGTACCTATATTTCATAATTCTATTGAACTGAGTCCATATAGAAATAAAAGTCATAGCTAAATAATATTGATATTTGTAAGTTACATGAGTTTGTATAAGTTATATCCTTTAACACAAAAACAACCATTATCAATTATGATACAAAGTAAAAACTCATAATGGAAAAATAAAAGTTATCACAAAATGTTATATTAAATATTCTCAGAAAAGTGAGACAGCCTTTTTCTTATTTTTGAGAAGGATATCCCTTCATGCATTACACATTAAAGCAGATAGTAAACTAGAGAATGGATGAAAAAAGAAAGTCTATAAAGTTTGTAAACTATACAAATCTTTATTATTTTTATCGATTTTTGCTCCATTTGGATTCCTTATTTTTTGAAAAACAAGTTTTTTTATATACAATTTTATAGTAATATACAAACAAAAACAATTCCAAAAACACCACATCCATACAATATATCAAAAACAACTCTAAATATATAAAAAATAAAAAATAAAATTTACACCATTTTCTTCTTCCATCTATCACCACCACTCATACCCACCACCGCCACCATCCCTTCTTTCTCCTCTTTCCTCTACCTCTCTCTTCCTCCTCCTCTCCTCCCTTTCCGTTTCTCTCGCTTTTCTCGCCACACCCCACCGCTTCCTTTCCCTCCCATATCTGCCCTCGACCAAAGCCTATAATCTGGCCGCGATATCGTGACCAGAGGTCTCGATCTGTCCAATGGGGAAGAGAAGGGGTGAGGCATGGCAGGAAAAGAAAGGAGAAGGGAAAGGAAGGAGGGGAGGAAAAAAAAGAAAGGAAGAAGATGGGAGGAGTAAAGAAATGGAAGAGGGGGGGAGGGGGAAGAAAGAGGGAAGGAGAAAAAGGGAGAGGAAAGAACGAGGAGGAGGAGAAGGGTAGGGGTGGTGGTGGTGATGGTGATGGTAATTTTTTAAAAATACCAAGAAAAAAAATTTAAACTTTAAAACTACTGCAAAATATATCCTAAAAATACCTCCAAAAATTTCATGAAAAACATGTACGATAAAAAATTTTTCATATACACTATTATAATAAAGTATTTTAAAATACTCTAAAAAACCGTTAATCCAAATGGAGCCGCACTAGTCGTCCAGAAAAGTTTGTAGAATGTGTTCAATCTTTTTGCTTAGAATTTGAAGTTTAATGGTTTAATATATATTTTCCAACTTAATCAATTGCATCTTTTTTTCATAAAGTCATGGCCATAGTTTTGCACTTGATAGTGGATTCCTTTTTTTTTTTAATTTGTTCTAAGAACAATACCATAGGACCAATTCCACTCTAAGCATCCATAGATTCTCTAACATTTGATTTTCTTGCTTACAATGAAATCATTTTGATTAAGTTCAATATCATATATATAATCGACATTACTCATTTCCGCAAGTGCATTTTCCTAGTTCCCTTAAATGTGTGTTCATTACTGTGTTTTATATCAATATCACATGAGACCCTACGTATATATTTATTGCCTAAGAAAGTAGAAATCTCTTCATCAACATATCAAGTGACAGCATGCCTTCAATGTTCTATTGCTTTATTAGCACTTACACAATCATCAGTTGCTCTTATACAAGGCATCGACCACATGACACATGAACCAACATCCCACAGAAAGACAATACAGTCAGCATCAGTAAAGCAACGCTCCATAATGCAGATTCCTACTCGTTGTGCTTACCAATGGGTTGAACAGTGGTGAATGAAGGCAAGATCTGCACTTCTATGCATACTGAGGTCTTGATACCAGTACATATGATTATTTTCTAGATGCCATGAGGCCCACAGCCATGCCTCTGATTTGAATAGCAAAAGCTGGAGAGAGGCAAAGAAATCTTATTAAAGAAAGAACAATCTTATTGGCATACTCAAGGATAATGATGCTGATAAATAAGAATGATAAGAGAGTACACTTCATCTAAATGACTCCAGCGGTCAAGAATGCAAATAATCCATAATGCGCAAAAAATGGCTGTAGGCCTCATGGCTTCCACAGAATGGTTGTTTCTGCAATCAAGAAGTAACAACAATGTCACGATAAGCCTTGTCAGCTCCAGCTCTGCAATAATATGGTCCCTGTGAGTTATCAACATAAGTAGATAAAGAGCCGAAGGCCTCTGATGACCTGGAATGGTTTTCGTCGTCCTCTCACGTGCCGCACATGTCAGTCACCAGCCTCTTTTTTTCCCCGCAATGCGCCAAATACTTCCTCTCTAGGGTTTTCTTAAATTTCCTCCGCCGCCGCCGCTTTCTCTCTTCTCCCCTTCTCTCCTTCGCCTCACCTTTATCCTCAGAAGCTAAACCCATCCCAACAGTCCTTGATCAGATCTTTCCCTCTTCCTCTTGCTCTCAAAATCTTTATTATCTCTCCTTCTCCTTTCCTTCCAACTCTTTGATTTTATTCTTGAATATTACTTCAATTTTTTTATTTTTTTTCTTTATTCTCATGTTTACTGCGCCTGCCTGCCGTCCCCAATTCCCCACTCAACTCGCCACACCGGCTACTACGACCAATTTGTCATGTCTCCCAGCTCCGGACGTCACAGAATTTAAAAGCTACCAGTTGCCACTTTCTGCTGGTCCCTAGGCTTTTCTTTTCAATCCACAGCACTCCACCCGTCCATCCGGCCCAAGCTTACAGCTAGATGAAGGAACAAAGCATAGGCCTCCACTATCCGTGCCAACTGCCTATTTGTTCCGTGTTTTCATTTAACATTTGAAGCTTCAAACCCTGTAAATGATACCTAACCTTTTCCACAATCGTCTTTTGTGAGAACCCGTAAATCCCCTAATAATTTTCCTAGGGTTTATTTCCTTTAATGGCATGTTTTCTGCATTTTCTGGCTTAGGAAAATTCTCCTGGTGAATTTTATGAGTAATTATAGTTTTTAGATGATTTTTCTAGTATTGGAGAGTTTTTGAAAAATTAAGAATCTATTGTGGACGTGGGACCCACTAGCGCGAAAAGTTCGGAAAAATTCGGCCAATTAGGTTAAGTTTCGGATACTGGTTGAAATTTATCGGGTGTTAAGAGATAAGTAGAGGTTGAGATGTGATTGATGTGAGAGAGACTTAAAGGATAGAAATGCTTTAAATGTAGTGACAAGTGTCACTTGGTGAGTGGTGGCACTTGTAGGACAACTATTCATTTTCTTGACTTTTGACCAATTGTTTAAATATCTCAAAAATCACACAAAATTCATTCTTATCTTCAACTTCTTGGCCGGCTCTCTCTCTAGGAAAAGAAAGAAAACTTCTCCAATTTTCAAGCTTCCAACTAGCTCAAATCCTCCAAAACAATTGCTTAAATTTGTTTCTACTCCATAAAATCCCTCCATTTGGTGCTAGTAAGTGATTTTGTGGAAGTGTTCAAGGAAGCTAAGGTGTCCTACAACTCTCCCTCTCTTGTGTTCTAGGTAAGTGGTGTTTGAACTTCCTCCTACACTTAATGAAGCTTAAGTTGTGCTTAGTGGTAGCTAAAGTGCTGAAATTTGTGGTTTATTTCTTGGTTTGAGATGAATTGGTGAAGTTTTTAATTTATTGGTGATTTTTCTGGTTTAATTTGATCAAGATGCTGTGGCTATCCATGATGATTGGAAATGGTATATAATGATTCTAGAAGGTGGAAAAAGTGGAAGATTGCAAGTAATTTCTGTTTTGGAAGAAATCTGGAAAATTAGGGTTCTTTGGTTCTTCATTCTGTCCGAAATTTTAGGTCATAGATAGAGGCCGAATTGGCCTTAGCTCAAAACATGAAAGTTTAGGGAATGATATTTTATAGGTGCCTACAAAATTTCAGGTCAATCGGAGTAGTGTAGAATGAGATAAGTGAAATTACTATTGCTATTCTGGTTTTACCCGAAATTGGGATTTGCTTCTGTAATTGGTTGTTTTGGTCTGGATTGCTTCCGAATGAGTTGTTGAGGCCTTCTGATGAAATTTAGCCCTGTTTCTTAGATTTCAACTGGTTTTGGAATTTCTGGATTTGAACTTGTAGAGCCTGAGTTATGATATTTCCGCTAAAATGCGTTTTGGTGAATCTGTTTTACCTTTTGATGTAGTATCTTGCATTTTTGACCTGTTTGCACTCAAACTGGGTTGAGTGGCCTTCTGTGATGTTGTAACCCTGTCTTTTAGCTTCAAAATGGTGGGTCTTACACCTTCATCCGATAATCATAGGGCATTTGGTGCCATTACCGCAAAAAGAAGTCAAAAAACTATTTTTTCAGGGCCAAAGCTAAGTGCATTTCTGAATTTTCTGGTTTTCTCTAATGATTGTACATGCTTATGGAACCCTATTGGGGTCATATTTGGCATTGGTTTATGACTCGTTATCGAGTCTCCTTGTACTTGTTTGCATGTTTTAAGGCTTGCTTTCATTCCGGTCATTTCCTAGCTAACTTTTGTACTTGTACTACTTTGAGCCTAGTGAACGGCTTTTGGGAAATGAGATGAATTTTGTGTGAGATGTTGGGACTGATTTGAGGAAATAATGAAGCCATGATGGCTGGAGAGTTAGCAAATTTAGGGGAAGTGCTGCTCGATTTTCTAGGCCGTTTGGTTCCTTTAAGTTGGATTTGCCTTTTGGTAGAAATGAAGGGCTTTTGGGTTGTTGAACCTACGTCTTCATGTTACCTTTTTGTTCCCAAAAATCATGTTTTGCACCCCTGCATTAGTAATTATTTGGCGAGGCATACGACTAGTAGTCGAGCCTCACATGTGCATTCTGTTTACTCGATTCTGGAAGTGGAACCTTCAATTGGTTTATTTTGATTATTTTAGGGTTTCTTGGCGATTAAGGCCAATCTGAAGTGAAAACTTTTGAATCTTGAAGTGAAAACTTTTGAAGTTGAGCCGGTGAGTGTACCACTCCCCTCCATTGCTGTTTACTTGATTTCTGCTCTGCAATCTGTTTATTTGTTTTGAGACGAGGGTGTACTTTATCACACTCGTTCTCCTGTCTGTTCATATGCCAATTTACTATGCAAAATTTGAATCTGTTATCTGTGTCTGCATCTGTTCGGATTTCTATGACCTATGAGCTCAGTCCTGTGGCTAAGTTATTCGAGTCGGGCTGGCAAGGGCCTGGATGATTAGATAACGAACCACGGTAGTCTGTTCGGGGATTTTGGGTATTGAGACCCTTGATTCCGGGTATACTCGAGTATTACCATTTTGTTCATTTGAGGTGAGCGGGCCCGGTAAAGGGGTGTTTGGTGGACGAATTCGGTGCGAAGTGGGTGTACGGACGCGTTGGTTCTATATACGTTGACGGAGAGTCAACCGGTTTGGATCAAGTACTGCGCTGGAAATTTGGCTCCTGAGAGCCACCTGTATCCTTCCTATGTGAATCATTAGTTACTTTACTTTACATCTGGCATGTGTATCTGATTTGTTAAATGTGAAATGCCATGATTTTAATGCTATCTGTTTGGTACCTCATTGAGCGCAAGCTCACCCCATTCTGTTCCTTTTGTCTTCCTTACAGGAAAATAAACCCTTTTGGTCTGGATTTGACAAATGGCTGCCAAATTGAGCTAGTTGAACATATCTTTTGTATAGCTCATGTATTAAAACCCTAAGTGTACTTTTGGGGCGTTTTCTCTTTTGATTTGGCAAACCGTGTATATGTATTAACTTTTGAAATCTTTTGTATGTCATTTTGGATTGTAATCGCTAAAGTTCAGATGTGAATGTTTGCGTGCTCTTTCGGTTGGGTTCTGACGGGTCGGTTACTATCATGGCCGACTCCGGATTTCATTTTTCTTATTTTGGGTTATTTTGCCATTTTGACTTGCTTACGCTCGTTGGTAAGTTCCGGAACGCATTAGATAGCTCTAATCTGCACCGTTAGTCCTGGCGAGAGTTGGGCAGGCAGTCCGCTAACCCCTTTGGTTCGCCTTAGAGGAAGGTGGGGCTATCACAGGTGGTATCAGAGCCATATGCCGACAGTTGGGACTTTACGTCCTTCGTCTGGAAAAGCCCCGAGCCTCTCGTTCGTGAAGAGTCACGAAGCGAAACTCTCCGTAGGGGATGCCCGCGTGCGGGTTGCAAGCTGATAGGTACCCTGTGATGTGACCCTGAGAACTGTCACAGGTGGTATCAGAGCCACTTCGCGTGGTCTCTGCGCGGAGTGATACTGGGCCAAGTGGTGTTGTGGTCCTAATTTCATGAATATGTCTAAGTGCTCGTTTGAGCATAAGTTATGAATCGAGCATGTGATAAGTGTACGAATCATTATCAGGGGACTCGAGGAAGCTAGGTATGTATGTCGGGTAGGAATCTTTAATAAGGATGGTTTACTCTTGGGACCGGCCGGCTCGAGTTGTGAATTATCTTAGATGGGATTCTTGCGCTCGGATACGAAAGATATGAGAGTCTAGGTTAGAAAGGATTTGGTGAACTAGAAAGGCCATTCCTCGGTGGATCGTCTATGTTTGTACTTGACTTAACTGGCTGTATATATGTGTGTGGCTTAATTTTGACCGGCTTGTATATATATGTTTTGATCTTGTTTGGAATGTATAAATGTGTGTTACCATAAAAGTTTTGAGTGTTACTTACATGCATCGTGCTTATTTTGGTTTAGTATTATTGCCTAAACCAAGTAAAACTCATGGAAGGTACACGGAGTGGTCAGGGACGTGGAAGGTAAGAATTTACTGAACCTGGCCAGTGAAGGGGTACAGATCTGTTAGCTAAGTATAATGTTCAATTTAATCCCGGAGTAGTCAATGATAAGGAATTTCGAGGACGAAATTCTTTTAAGGGGGAGAGAGTGTGAGAACCCGTAAATCCCCTAATAATTTTCCTAGGGTTTATTTCCTTTAATGGCATGTTTTCTGCATTTTCTGGCTTAGGAAAATTCTCCTGGTGAATTTTATGAGTAATTATAGTTTTTAGATGATTTTTCTAGTATTGGAGAGTTTTTGAAAAATTAAGAATCCATTGTGGACGTGGGACCCACTA